TCATGCCTATATATATTTTATATATATATATATGCTTTCACTTAAATTCTTTCTTTAGACTTAAATTCCGAGCAGGACAATCCTTCAAACCACAATTCTGGTGTTCTCCAGCCCATTAGCAGTTGGGAATAATAAACAGAAGATGAGCACAGGTAGCACCTTCACATTTTATTTCCAGCACATGGGCTAGGAACAATCTGGGAGGTTTCAAATCCACTCAGGCGATGTTTTTTGTTTCCCATGGTTTCCAGAAATACCATTTCTCACATACAAACAAGAGGAACACCAAGTCACAACATAAGAAATACCATGTCTCCCAATAATGCCTTTCTTATGCTTGGGATTTTTGTTTATTTATACAATTTCTACAGTGGCATAGCTTCAGCAATGGATGGAGCTTAGAAAATTCAGGCATTTGCTCACCTGTTCACAGCTTGACCTTTATAAGAGTTGCTTCAGCTTTAAATAATGTGGATTTAAAGCCAAACTCATTTAAAAAACAAAAAAAAAGTAGACTCTCAGGGTAGGAAACAACCCACCAGCTGAAAATTGAGATGTTCATGCCTAAACCAGTCACCCCCAGCTCTTTTTATGACTAATGGCATCTTAAGTTCACCTGATCCTGCATTAATACATCTCATAGGAGATGGATTGTGCTTCATCTCCAGTAGCTACCGGACAGATTTCCATTATTTAGGACAGAGCTAAGGGCTCAGCTGTGCACAGAGAAAACCTTCAATGATGCATGGGAAGATACACCTGTAAACATGGAAAAAAAAAGCACCTCTTCACTGAGTTAGCAACATAAAGATGTTTTTCTTATGGATTCATTCTGCTTCTGGTCTGTTTGGGTTTTGATCTCACCCTTTGCACAAGCTTAAGGTGGCCTTTGATAGACCACATGTCTTCACAACCAAGGGCACAAGCTGGTGGAAGCAATTGAAGGTGTTTAGGGCAACCACCCATCTGCACATGCAGGATCTGCGTGCCCTAGGAGAGGACTACAATGTTTTCATTTTATTCTGCTGCTGTGACATGAATTTACTGCACAGAAGGGGTTTAAAAAACCCTAAAACACAGGAAATACACTTGTTCAACCCACAATTTCTTGACATTGGAGTTGAGCAGGGTTTTGCCAGTAGGTTTGAGCACATATGAAGATCAGCTATGCACAGAAATGTCTTTTTCTCATCTTAGAGCTGGCCAGGAAATGTTGTTCTTAATTAAAAATAAGCTTTTCCCCTCCCCCATATTTCCTAAAGAGGTTTAACGTTTTCTAGAAAAGGTTAAAAAGCCAACCAGCAATGCCCAAAACCAGAAACCATATTTTTCATTGCTTCAGACAACAATACACTTCTTATTTTTTAAAGGCTGCTTAGTTTTGGGAAAAGCAACAGTGAACAAAGCAAGCCACATGTTAAACATTTGCTGTCTTGGCAAAGAGTGAGAATTTCCAGAAAAAGAAAACAGAAGACAAAGGTAAATGGGTGATTTTGCTGAGAACCGAGCAGTAAAGAGAGCCTGAGGAAATACAAGATTCAGCACCCACAGTCTACATTACTATTGGCAAAGCAGGACAACCTTGAGGGGTTATTTTGAAAACAACATTATCTGCATAGAGGGGATCTCAGGAGGAGTTACACAGGAGCACCAAAATTCAGAAACATGGTTCTTGCTTACATCCAGTAGGACAAACACACCTGAGCAACATTAACATTTGTTGCTTCACAAAAAAAAACCCCACCTTTCAGTCTTTTCCAGAGTAGCAGCAATACCTCCCTCCTGCCCAGAGGAGCCATGGGCAGAGAACTGAAGCACAGAGCACTTACATGAGCTGATAGAGAGGGCAACCAAAAACCCACAGCATCTCTTCAACCCCAGCTTGACTCCAAGACAGGTCAGATCTTGGTGGCCATGTGGCTTAGATCACCTGGGACAGCTCAGACCACCATCTCAACATCACAAAAATAGCCTTTGGAGTACAATTATTATCCCAGATTTTAGGAGCACCAGCTGGAATAAGTAACCAGACATCCATCCTTCATTGGGGACCTTTCTTCCCAGCAAGAGAGAAAGAGCCAGAAACCCCAGCTGAGACCCTTATAACCACTCACACAGCCCACCACAAGAGTGCAAGCGTTCTCACTGAGCATCCTGACTCACTGAAATTCAGTCACTCCCCAGGAGCAGTTAATAAGCCTAATTACCTCCTCCTAAATCTTGTAGGAGTGAAGGCACCTGGGCAGGATTTCCACTTTTGGCACAGAGGTGGTGGCTACAGTTTGTTGGGAGCAACAGCATAATAAAACAATGGAAAATCCCCATTAAATTCACTTCAGGAGGAGCAAAACTTCCTAATTTGATTTCACTTGATCAAACAGAAAGGAGCTTTGCCTATTCCAGCTTTGGATGGATGTCCAAAGTATCCTGTTCAGTGTTACTCTCTCTACCTTTCCCACAGGACATTTACCCACTAAAAGTTTCATTTTTAAGTCATTGACACTTCTAAAGGGGTGGAGGGTCGATTCCAAAACTCCCCACCAGCTCTAATATTGATCCTTAGAGCCACACAAGAAAAGAAAAATACCCGTCCTTTATCAGACTTGGAGCCACAAAGCAATCACCAGTGGTTTCCTTCTTGCTGAAGAGGTGGGTTAATTCAGAGATGGGTTTAAGATGGTGACCACAACCTTCTGGGGATTGCTGATGATTTCAATAGCTGTTCGCTGTTATAAGCTGATCTGAAGACCCTTCTTGTGATATTTTTCCCTGACTACCTGGTTACCCATCTATCAGCTATCTGCCTGCCCATGTACCAACAAACCAGGTTGCATGGTTGATTCGAGAGTCTCGTGCTCATCGCTGCTGTCCAGGCACCATCCAGTGAAGATCATGGAGACAGGTCCTCAGCGAAGCCCATGAGAAGTCTCAGGGACACAGTTTGATGTAGGTAACAGTGGAACAGACCGAAAAGAGAGGGAAGACCTTCTCCTGAAAGGCGACATTGAAGGTGAAGATGTGCTGCATGTTGTCAGCATTGTAGAAGGAGACTTCTTCCCCTTCATAGTCCAGGTACACCCTGACCTTATTGAGTTTCTGGTTGAGGCACAGTGGCGTGCGTTGGGGCGAGGTGACCGCCCAGTAGCGACCTCCGTTTTGCTGCACTGCCCAGATCCCTTCTTCGGGTGAAAACTGCGTGAGGCCTTTCCTCCTGACGGACTCCTTGGCCACCCCGAAGGCCCAACCGTCCGAGGCCCCCACCTCCACTTCCCAGTAATGTCTTCCTGACTTGAAGCCCGTGGTAGCCAGCACCCGTGAGTTCGTGTCGAATCTCTTGGGGTTGTCAGGCAGCTCCTGTTTCCTACAGCCCATCCTTACGCTCTTGAGGTCTGCAGAGAGGATGAGGAGGTGGTTTGCTGAATCTGGGTCCAGGGTCAGGTCCTCTGTTGATGACAGCAGTGACAGTGATAGTAAGTCAATAAGAACTTTAACAATTAAAAGCCCAAGCTGGGGATGTTTTTATCAGTTGCTGAACACATCCCAACCTCAATAACCACATCCCAATCTCAATAACTGCTCCTCTTCATCTCCCTGGACAGTCTGTGGTGAAGGAAAGCCAAGTTCACCAAGTTCAGACATTGACTTGGCTTTGAGGTTCTTGAGATGCCTCCTCTCACCATTGACTCTGCAGGAAGCTTGGAGGCTTGGTGCTAATTTTAAGAGGAGTAATTTTAGATGTTAACAAATACGCTGCTTCTCTCTACCAGCACACAGGGACAAGCTATGTGTGTGAGAAACTTGGAGGTGGGTGAGGAAGGTCCCAGTTAAAGATATAGGATGAGCATCTAGCTCACCTTTTCGCAGCCTCACTAGGGGTGAAGCCCCACCAGCTGAGGGTGAAGAACAACATGGCAAAGCAAATCATAGTAAATGAGGACCAAGATCTGGTTCAAGATGTCCTAGAGGGAGACCTACAACTGCATTGTGGTCTTTGGCTCTTTGATCAGCTCATGATCCTGCAGCAATGGCACCAGCTAACACCCCTCAAACACTGACCAGGGGGGACTCATATGTCTTCCTACACTGACACCCCAATTCCCTTCTTGGGAGGGCAAAACTCATGCTGCTGCTGCTAAGAAATGGCATAACAACAACATAAGGACATTAGGAGCAAAGAACACAATAAAACCACATGCAAATGATTAGCAATTGTATACAGTAAAAATGGACCTTAGATCAAGACTTTTTTTCCCCCAGGAAACTGATAATTTTTGTTTCTTGTTTTTATTTCTGGTTTATCTAATGTACAACACACAAGATGGGGTATGCACACCCCTCAGATCATAAATTGCTGACTGTCTGTCCCCAAACTACCCCACGATGACAAGTCCTCATAGAAAGCCATGACCTAAGGGCATCTTTACATACCAGATCGCATCTGGACAGCCCAAAAGAAACATGCGTGTAGATGAAGTTTGATACTAACATCTTTTCCCCTTCCAAAATCAGGATCAAAGGAAACAGCAAGCGCGTTAGCGACCTCAAATTGTGGTTGTAGTCAGCAAAGTTGCCATGAATGAATGAGACCCTTTGGGGCAATCTAAGATGGGACCTTAGGAGCTGAAACGTGTTGGATGCTGCACCAGAGTTTATTTTGCTAAAGGTCTTTATGGTCTTTCAAAATCCATAGATTCGGGCCTGAAAATTGCATATGGAATCCAAAAAGACCCATGATGGGATCGAAAGCTTCATGGTGTTTCACAGCGGTCGGAAAAGTGATAGCAACCACAGGAAAGGGTAAGTCCTTTTTTCCTTCAAAACTTAAGCACCAGGTTCCTCCCCAAAACTGGGAGATTGGCTTTAAAATAATCTCTCCTGCATTTTGCGTTATTATATCAGACCAAGAGATAGGTGCTTTCAGAGTGTCCATTAGCAAAAGTTAGGGGAAATGGATTGAATGAACAAAATTCCATGATGCCAATCTTTTCTTTAAAAGGTGTTTTCCTTCCTTCCTCTTGCATCTCCAGCTGCTGGAGTCATTAGGATTTGGGTCTGAGCTTCAACTCAGCTGTGAATGACAATTTGGCTTGATTTAAAAAAAAAAAAAAAGAAAAGATGCCAGGAGCTCAGGCATCATATTAAAAAAACAAACAAACAAAAAGACCAGCCAAAAATAAGAGCATTCAAAGCTCTTGGAAAAGGCGAACTAAGGCAGTCAGAAGAGAATGATTCAACAACTGCTACAAGGTTTTGGCTGGTCCCTTCTTCACCCCTTGATCCCTCAGCTCTCTGCAGCATACGCTGTGGCCCAGTCTGCTTTCAGAGGGTTTGCTGGTATAGCGCACCAGCTGAGTTATACCTCTACACATGCACACACACCACCATGGACATGCAGTGAGGGTCATTTTGCCATTTTGCTTTTAAACGGTGATCATCAGCCTTTCTTCTTTTGCTTTGCCAACCCCTTGGCATTTTCCAGAGGTGTCTGGGGATCTTTGTGAGCAGAGTCTGGTCCCTCTAAGCTGGATGGTCCTTGGAAAGGATCCAACCCATGGCTTGTCCTCCTCTGCCTTCCCCAAGGGGTTTGCAAGCCCCATGCTGAAGACCACCACCTTAAAAGCAAGAATAAGCCTTCTCTTCAAAAAGAGGGCTTGGCTTTGCTGAGGTAACTCTGGCTGCTCCAGGCATGGCTATGTAACCTTCACATCAAGGGAGCTGGAGGATGGGGGCAGATTTTAACAGCATCTGCCCATGCCTTGCACCCACCAGAGTGCAAGGTCAGAGGGATCAGGCTAGTGTGAGAACAACTGCAGAGCCCATCACTGTGGTTTCCCGGCTCACTGGCATTCCCCTGTCCTCACCGCTGCTGGTGAAGCAAAGCAGAGGCTCGTCCAGCATTGAAAGAGTCAGTCTGGGCTGGTTTTGCCGGTTGCAAATTCATGACCTCTCATGTGAACTTGCTCCTTTGCCAACCCAGGAGAGCTGGTGAGCGTGTCTTCTCCAGCATGGCATGGTCTGAAAGCAACTGCCTGCCCACAGCCATGATTTCAACAGCTTTCCGCAGAATTTAAGTCATCTGACTTTGCACTGGAGCAGATTATGGAGCGCTCACACCCTCCATCCCAAACCCTGAGGGAAATAGGAGCCTGACCACGGGGCACAGAGCAAATCTGGCAGACTTAAAGCAGGTTGTAGCTTGAAAGGGTATGAATCCGGTTTTGGGTTCAAATATCTGTTCTTTCTGTTCCTCACTGTAGTTTTGTTAAGTATAAACAGACAGAAAGGACCTAGCTTAGCTGTCAGATCCCCGGCGTCAGCTAGAAAAATCATCTTTTGACTCTCGAACTGAGCAGGCTGGATCTGGAAATCATTGAGAGAGAAGAAATTAAAAAAAAAAAAAAAAAGAAGAAGAAGAAAGCTAGAGTGCCCTTTTTTCTTTTTTTTCCCCCTCTCTTTGGCTTTGCAAAACCAGCTTTGCAAATTACAACCACAATTTAAAGTCTTTGCTTCAGGGTGCTACATCTTAAATATTTTCCTTTTACCTTTTTCACCTCTTCCCAGTTCATCTTGCAGGTTTTCTGAAAAGAAGAAACAGGCAAGTAAATGGCAACACCTAGAGAGCCAGAGGGAACCACAAAATCTCCTTTATGGGGACGTTTACACCCACACCACATTGCCAAAGTGCCGTCTTTGCCAACGTGGGACTCAACAGGCAACAAGAGCTGAGGATGGAGCAATGCCAGCTCCCACCAGCTTGTGCAATGGGGACAAACAACAGGGGAAATTCCTGGTAAATATTCTTTAATTTTTAGCAAAAAAAGCCTTAAAAAAAAAAAAAGCTTCTCAACATCAAAAGAACGCAGGATTTATTTAAGCCTTATTTATTGTGCCCTGCCATATTTTGTTCTTCTCGTTGTGTTATGAGTTTCAAACTTTTAGTACAATACTTTAAGCCTATTATTCCTCCAGGGCATAGTTTGTATTTAGAGATTTTTCTCTTCCAGATCTGCTTTCTGGTGCTTGCTTACTTTCCAAATCCCTCAGCACCATCTTGTGGCTTTGCTGCATTGCTGCAAGGGGTTGGTTTTTAAATGCAAAGCTTGGCTATCCCAGCCTCAAACTATTTAAGATGTGAAAATTGCAGGCTTTATTGCACTAAAATCGATGTGCCAGATTCAGGGGTTTCCCTCTTTAAAAAAATCCTGCATCTCCTTCACTGGCAGCCTGGCAGGGTGAGTCTCCTCCTATTCATGCACATCTCCAGAAGTCCTTTCCAACATAATTTATTCTCCTATTTTGGTACTGCTGGCCAGGCATGTGCTAAGGGACCTCAAGACATCTGCAGCATCCCCAGCACTCCACATCCCTTTTCTCCGATGCCTGCTAAAGGCCAGGCCTATTTTAAACCCCCTGGTTTCGTTTCCACGTACCTCTGAATTTCTTTAAGACTTTCTCAAGGACGACAGTCTTGAGGGAGAAATTGCAGATGTGCATTTTCATATCCGTGCACACCGCCACAGGCTTCTGGCACTTCACGTCATCACTTCTGCAAAGAAAAAAGTAAAACCAGTAAGAAAATCATTGCTATTCCCCTCCCTTTCTTTTTCATTTGCAGTTGGCAGTGTGCAGTGCTCCCACCGCATCCCTCCAGCAGTCTGTCCAAGTGCTCAACATCACATTGCAAGGATCACATATAGATTTCAACCTGCCTGGGCTGAGGACACCAGGATTTACATGTCAACTTTGAAAAACCCCTCGGCTGGAAAGGGTGTCTGTGCTGGGTTGCCCTCACTCAGCTGCTCCTGTTGCAGCTTAAATTTCATTTTCAGGGCTTAAGTGGTGCCTAAACCATTGCCCTGGGTGAATTGCATATCAGGCAAATAAGATGACTTGGGGTTTCTGGTCTCACTTGACCTTTGAGGAAACTGCAGGGTAGGAAAAGACTTTGTGATAATGCTAAGTTTTCCAAGAAGCTGGAAGAGACCCAGGGCTTGTGCTGAGTAGGAGGCAAGCTCTGTCTACCCCGGTGCCTCCCTGGGCATCTGGACTGCAAACACTGACCTTTAAACAGTGTTGGTGGGGGGTGGGAAGTGTGAAAGAAGAGAAGCAGTGCTCCATACCTGCTTATGATGTTCATTACATCCTAGAAAGAAAAAAGAGAGACCGAGTGAAATCCCTGTGTAACATGCGCTACGTCTCCCCTGGCTCAGACAGCAGGAGAGCAATTCCCCTTCATCGAACCCAACCAGGACATCCATCCCTTATGGCTGCAACAAGCAGGCATGGATCCATGCCTTAAATGTTTGCTTTCAGCTTTGGAAGGCCACAGTCCCACCAAATCCCACCCAAATGCCTGCAGCAACTAAAGACCCAGCTGCTTCAGGGGGTGACCAAGCCTCCCAAACGCTCCTATGTACAATACTCCAGGTTTATGCCTGTAGAATAATTATGTGGTTTAGGTTGGAAGGTGCCTTTGGAGGTCTCTCATCCAACTCGTCACACAAAGCATGCCAGCTTGGCCAGGGCCTTGCCCAGGTGAGTTGGGAGTATCTTCTAGGGTGGTTACTACAAAAACCTCTCTATTTCCTGTTCCATTATTTGACCGTTGTTGTTGTGAACCCAGGTGTAGGCATCTGGCAGCCTTTGAGATGCTCTAAGGATCTCCCTGCTGGTCTCCCACTTCTGAGAAGGTCCTATCAACCTGCCCTGTGTGAAGTCTTGAGATACAGAAAGACACCTGCAAGTATCCACCAGCCTAAGAGCCAAAAGGACATCATCTACCATAACTTGGCCACCCTGAAAGCTGGCATTAAGCTTGTGCATCTATGTCTCCATGATATCTGGACTTCCATGGTCTAGTCACCACCAAGAAGAGTTTGAGGTGCCTCCAACGGGTGATTCATCCCACCCTGGGAGGCACGTCCTGACAGTGGAAATTATTTGCCCTCAGGAAGGGTAAATTATGGAGGTAAATCATAGGTTAAAAAGCCCTCAATAACTAGTTGCTACATGGTGAAAATTCACTGAGATGAAACCCATGCTTAGTCCAGTTCATGCCACTATTTCCCCTTTCTGATGCCTTTAAAATAATGTAAAGAAGGGTGTAAACCGTGGCAAGTACGTTGGATGTGATTCAAAGGCAACGCAAAGCCATACCCATCTCCCAGGGAATGGAAAAGGACTCTGGAGCTGACTAAGGATTTCCAACGTGGCCTTTTAAAAAAATATCGCCTATTGTTACAGGATCATTTTTACGTGCATTGGTGAGGGCTGAGCAAAGATCACATGAAATGAGTTTTCACCCATAGCCAAGTACTGAAACCATGTGCAAATATTTACAGTGCTTTCAGTGCTGCCTGGGAGGGAATTTAACTCTGCAGGATCTGTGTGGACCAGAAGCTCAATCTACTTTGTTTAATCAAAACATCGTCAATTAAAAGAAGGTCACCCATTCACCTTTTGCCATTCAGTAGAGGACAGGACTGCTTGATTTTGTGGATGGGCAGCTCGGTTTTATTTTTCAAACCCCACTTCATTTGCAAAGGAGAGTTTGGGTAACAGGGAGGGCTGGATTGACTCCAGCTTCTTTCTTTGCAATGCAATCAATATCTGGACTCCATCTGCTCTCTCCCTCATACTTTCCAGCTTGGTTAATAGCTCATTTTGACTTGAAAATCTGGCTCTGCTTTCAGGTCCTGGCCAACCTTCTGCAGCCAGGACTCCGCTGCAAAAATTGGCAAGGAGCCGTGTCCTGCTGAGCCTGGCTCCATGTGCCTCCTATGCTCAACTCCATCCTGACCCCTCACCAGCTCCTTTAAGCTGGAGGAGCGGACATCTGTGACTTGGCATGCCACAAACCTTCAGCGTTGCAAACCCATCAAGACCTGGATTTGCAAAAGGAGTTGCTTGGTTCAAGGATCTAGCCAGTACTGCTGCAGTTGCTCATCATGCAAGGTCTAATTCAGCTTTGAATGCCTTTAAACAGGAATTTACGTGTGCTAGAAAGGTCCAGTCAAATTTGTGGAAGAAAAAATTATCAGAAGCTTTTAAATATGAAGAGCACACCTCTGTTTCAGGATGTTCCTGAGCCAGAGAAAGTTGCTGTGTGTTATTGCTGGCATAGGAGAGCTCAGGGCATTCGGACACTGCCAAGCACCATCTGCTCATTAAAGGTGAGGGCAAAAAGAGGACATTTATCCTCAAAACACCTCTGCAGGGTCCAGAAACACATTAAAAAAGGATCAAGAAGGGTCATGACTCAGACCTGAAGGCTCATGTCGTAGCAAATGTCTCACCTTGAGGAACTCAAGCATGGGCTGCTGGATTTTCTCCTCCAGCTCTGTGATGAGCTTGTTGAGGAGCGTGATCTCCTTGGAGAGGTCGGTGATGTTCTCATTCTGCCTCTTAGCAATGTTCTTTTCCATCTTCTCCAGCTGCCCCAGGAGGATGTGTTCCTGGTCATGCAGGAACTGCCGCAGCCTCTCAAACTCCAAGAGCAGCTTCTGCCTCTCATTCTCAATGGTTTTCTGGGAATGAAATGCAGTAAAAAGGGTTTTAAGCTGGTGCAATGATTTTGGGGTGGAGAGAGGCCACAAGGTGAACTTGGAACAGCTGCCCGTATCATTGCAGCTGCTTGCTGGCTTGCTTGTGAGACTGGGTGCCTTCAGTTGGGGAGGGGTGAGGGGATATTGCATGTGGCACGCCTGGACAAAGGCAGGGGTGGGGATGAGAGAGCAAAGGCCATGGGCAGTTATTCCACAAACAGCTGTTATCTTCATTCTCCTCCACATGTCCCAACCTGGACCCATGTCCCCACCACCCCAGAGCACTGCATTGTGGCAACGCACCAAGAGCTCCTGGGTTTTCTTATCATCGTTCACTTTAAACTCTAGTAGCTCTTGCCTCTCCTTTTTCAGGAAATCCAAGCGTCCCTGGATTTTCTCCTAGGAACAAAGAAAGAAGATATTACTGGCTTTTCTTTCTTTCTTTTGCTGCATTATTCTGCCTGTGCACAGTTTGTTCTTGTAGCCGTGCAAAGACAAGCAGGATTGCAAGAAAAATTCCAGGACATTCTCACCGGGTGAACATGCTGGCTCAGCTCTGCCCACACTCACCCAGACACCCACATTTGCAATCCCCAAAAGACCGCCACAAGTTCACGTGCATGCAGTGAACACAAAGAAAGGAGACGGAGGATGCCAGGGGAGGGTACATGCACTGTTTACATCGGCTGCTGCTACCACTTCCCCCACCTTTGCTCTTGGCACAAGCGAAACTCGGCCTGGCTTTAATCAACTTATATTTATCTTTGGATGCTCGCCCAGACCTAAAATAGGTGTGAGTGTTTGCTCTGTCGGCTGTTACCCTACCGATAAGGTGGGTGCCCTCAGGTAATGTTTGCAGCATGATGCTTACGTGGCTCAAACCCAGAGCTGTTGCAAGAGCTTGCACGGGAGAAACTCTGTCTCACAGCCTCCTGGCTGCCCTCTCTTTAATCCCACGCTCTCCCCAGCTGCAGACATGATGTGAATTCATGAGAGGGTTTTGCATATCTGGAGGGAGGTTTCCAGGTCTTTAGAAAGCTAGAAAGCAGCAACTGGCTCTTTGCAGGGCAGTTGAGCACGAGGCTGAGCATGGGAAAGCCAGGTGACCGTGCGGGGACTTGAGCAAGCACAAATACACAGCACAATGCATACCGCTGGGAGGCAGAAAGACCTGGGGAGTCTTCCTCAGAAGGGATAGACAGATGGACAGGTACCTTGTACTCCTCGGATGCCTCATCGATGGGTACCACAGCATGCGGCCGGTGCTCCCGGGACCTGTCGCACACCACACAGATGGTTCTCCGGTCGTCCTTGCAGTAGAGTTTCAGGGCTTCCCTATGCTTTGTGCAGAGCCCATCCTCCTCAGCACCCTTGGCCCCGCGGAGGGTGAACTGGCTGATAATCTCTGACATGTTTGCCAGCTGCCGGTTGGGTCTGAAGCTCTTCTGTTGGAAGACCTCTCGGCACTGTGGGCAGGGGAAGTCCATCTCTAGGTCCTTCCAACTCTTGATGATGCACGCCCGGCAGAAGTTATGCCCGCACTCAATGGACACGGGGTCTTTGAAGAACTCCAGGCAGACAGAGCAAGTGGCTTCATCCTGGAGATTGCCGGGCAGAAACACCGCCGCCATGGCCTCTCTCCTGCAGGCAAGGACTGATTTCACCGGGGCTGGACGCAGAACATGAATGCTTGGCATCCAGTCCCAAGTGGGCGTTCCTCTTCCAGGAACAGCCCGCTGCCCGAGGTCACTTCTGCAGTGTCCGGTTTCTTTAAACTGGTAACGAAGACCTCTGCATCAGGGGACAACATATAGGTGGAAGAAAAAGAAAGCAAGAAGCTCC